GGAAGTCCTTTTAGACTGCTCGGGACCACTTATTGTGGCAGGGGACTTCAACTGCAAACATCGAGCATGGCATTCTAGGTTGAATTCTACCAGTGGGATCCGACTGTACAACCATGTGATACGAAATGGCTATCTCATACATAGTACTGAAGAGCCGACGCACCACCCGTTTAATCACCTTCAGGCACCTGATGTTCTTGATTTTGCAATATCCAAAAACTGTAGATACAGTATCACTTCTCGAATCATGTGTGACATCTCAAGCGATCATCTTCCCGTCGTTTTGGAAGTTGGTAATGAGCAGATCTTGGGGGATGAAACCCCTCCAAGGAAACGCATTGATTGGGAGCTATACAAGTCGCTCCTTAGAGAGTTCCCCAATATTCCAATCATAGATGATGAGAACGGTATAGATGTGGCTCAAGCAGAGTGGCCAAGTTTTGTTCAGCAAACTCTGCAGCGTGCAGCTGTACTTCCCGTGCAGCGCCACGGCAGACCTTTTCTGCCAGCAGACATTCGTCAGAAAATTTCTGATAAAAGGGCTGCAATTAAGCAAGCGAAAAGGTCTTGTCATCCTGATGACATTCGCAGAGCGAAGAAGAAGTAAGTAAGAAGTGCTCTTCATGCGACTTTCTGGCGGGAATGCTTGACTCAAGCATTCCTCTCTGGAAGGTGGCGAAGTCGCTCAAAAACGGAAAGCGTAAACAAATCCCACACATTCACGGTCCTGGAGGCATTGTCTTCAGGACAGAGGAGAAGGTTGAGGTTTTCGCCGATGCCATGGGAAGACAGTTCTCTCCCAACTATGATCTTGATAATGACCTCGACGAGGAGCAACACATCGTAAGATCTGTCAGGAGATATTTTAGGGCCAACGGCGTCAGTGACAGTCGCGCTATCGTTGGTGATTCTTCTTCATCAGGAGATTCTTCTTCAGAAGCTTCTTCAACCGAAGATCTACTTAGCACATCAGCGACATCTCCTGAGATCCCGCATTGCACACCAGCAGAGATTCAAGGTCATATTAAAGACCATAAGTGCGTAAAGCACCTGGGGAGGGTCAAATCACTAATAAGGCGCTGAAGCTGCTTTCGCGGAAGTCCTTAACTTATCTCGTGGCAATAGTCAATGCCATGCTGAGGATCCAGTACTTCCCATCCGCGTGGAACGCCGCTGAAGTTATAATGATTCCAAAGACGTGCAATTCAGTTTTCGGTCTGAGCATAGTACGCTACAGGCGGTTAGGCTGGTGGAACGAGTAACAAGAGGATTCACCCTTAACGAAAGTGCATCTTGCTTTTGGAGGTCTCAAAAGCATTTGACAAGGTGTGGCACGCGGGCCTCCTGCATAAACTAATCCAAAAGGGCTTCCCTTTTTGGCTTCTAGAACAACTGAAATCCTTCCTTGAAGGTAGGTAATTTCGGATAAAAATTAAAAATGTCCTGTCAAACACGGCTGATTATAGCCGGTGTCCCTCAGGGTTTGGTCCTTGAACCTATCCTTTACTCACTGTACATCCATGACGTCCCTAGTCCCAGCAAGTCTATCTCTATGCTGACGATACTGCATTGGTGGCTCAGTTTTGGTCTGGTCACCTAGTCCATGACAGGCTGCAAACTGTGTTGGAGGAAGTATTAGATTGGACGGATCGGTGGCTAATTAAAATTAACCATTCGAGAACGCAGGCAATCTACTGTACAAAAAGACGTCGCGGCGTTCCGTCTGAAGTTTCAATGAATGGACTTCGTATACCATGGGAATCCTCCGCTAAGTATCTAGGTGTCATTCTGGACAAAGGGATGACTTGGTGGAGCCATATAGAAGCGCTAAAAGCTAAATTCCAAATTACGTTTTGACAGCTTTACCCATTATTATGTAAAAGTTCAAAATTAAGTTTGATTAACAAGATTCGACTCTATACGGTGGTCATAAGACCAGCAATGACTTACGCATGTGCCTAAACGCTGCCTATCCTAATAGATTCTCTTCTTCCCCTTTGCTCTCGTTCTCCCTTCTCTCCTCTCCTTCCCCTTTTTCCCTTAAAATTGTCTGGTTTCTTGGTTACCAGACCTGACAGACTTACAAACTGACACTGTGACTGGCAACCAACGATGACTTGACGTGTCAATCACAAAGATGATCTTCAGTACAACGACACTAATTCTTTGCGTGTTGGCCCCTATGTCTGAACGCGACACAGGAGGATACGGATTGCTCTACTTGGAGGCGGTATAATGCGGTAACTACCTATGGTAAAACTTCGGAATGGACCCATGGGCACTTCTGTTCCACGTGCTAGACTTACAATGTGCCAAGTTAAAAAAACGCTAGCCGATAGCCATTCCCCATAAGGTTTCTACAGGGTCTTTTAATCTTTTAGTATAATTTATATTATTTATATCCTATCCGAAGAGAAAATATGTCGGCGAAATATCTCATTCCAGTGTGAGAAGATAAACGATGGCAATAAGATGGATGAAAATAACCATTTTGAACATTAAAAAAAGTCGATCAAATCTCAATTACCAGTACCTACTCTCCTTTTTCTCGACGAACGGGACGAAAAACGAGGGAAACAATTTAGGTGGGCTTTAGGGATAAACGCCCAGCGATGTTCTCCATTTCTGACATGATAAAAAAGCAAGCTATGTTCGTGATAGGGTCTTATGAATCATCTGACACATTTTTTATCGGAACATCTGATACGGATAGTACGATAGGTGGACACATATATACCAGGTGTTTCAGAAACCACGACACAGCTGTCCGTGGTCGAACAAGCAAAGGCTGTATTACTAGTTTTTTCTTTTAAGTTGCCTCGTTATTGATTGATCGGTAGCAACTCACAACAACTATCTTGATGGAACGATCCGCCTGCTTCATCCAACATTGTCCTTCAAAAACATCTCGCAATTCTCAAATCGTCCTCTTCCGACTATGATCTCGACGAGGAGCAACATATCGTCAGTTCCGTCAGGAGATATTTTAGGGCGAATGGCGTTAGTCGTCGGAGCTCCACCATTAGTGATTCTTCCTCAGAAAGTTCTTCTTTGGAAGATTCTTCAACTCAAGAGTTGCATAGCATATCAGCGGCATCAACCGAGATTCGTCATTGCATGCCAGCAGTGCTCCAAGGTCACATTAAATACTCCAAGGTGCGTAAAGCATCTGGGGAGGATCAAATCATTAATAAGGCGCTGAAGCTGCTTTCGGGGAAGGCTATGACTTATCTTGGCGCAATAATTAAAGACATGCTAAGCACCCTGTACTTCCATCGGCGTGCAAGATTGCGGAGGTTATAATGATTTTAAAGAAGGTGGATTCGATATTTCTTCATGATTGTTGTCTCATTAGTCTACTGTCACCTTCATCTCTGCTCGCTGAAGAGGTGATTCTACGTCACCTTGAGAATTTCTCATCAGATCATCATGTGATTCCTAGCGTACAGGCGGTTGACGTGCAGGCGGTTGACATGCAGGCGGTTGACGTGCAGACGGTGTTATGCTTGTTAAGCAAGAGACGGGGAGCTTCACCCTTAAAGAAAGTACTAGCATTTGCTTCTGGATGTCTCGAAGGCTTTTGACAAGGTGTGGCACAAGGGCCTTCTCTATAAGCTAATCCAAAAAGGCTTTAGATTTTGGCTCCTAAGATTTTTGAAATTCTCCCTTGAAGGTACAAAATTTCGGATCAAAATTAATAATGTCTTGTCAACAGAGCGGCCTATTAGAGCCGGAGTTCCTCAGGGTTCGGTTCTTGGATCGATCGTTTTTTGTATACTCCAGCTATCACGAATTCCTAAAGCCTAAATAATCATGGGGGAATACAGGGGAAATGAGGGGACGCCACATGGACTCTAGCGAGGGTACACGTGTGTATGTAGCATGCACACATTCTGTCCTCGCCTACGAGATCCGCCGGGTGGTATCTGCACGTACGACAGCCAGGGACCGTCTACCACCTACACTGTTCACTTCACACTCATGACAACCCTTGCCTCAGCGACTGTGAAGTCTTTCTATATGCTGATGGCACTGCTCAATGACTCGAAAACGCAGGCTATCTATTGTTCTAAAAAACATAGCAGCACCCCGTCTGAGGTTTCAGCGAATGGAGTTCGTGTATCATGGGAAAATTCTGTCAAGTATCTTGGTCTTACTTTTATCAAGGGGATGACTTATCAAAAGCACACTGAAGCACTGAACCTCAAAATTAACTTTGATCAGTAAAGTTCGCAGTTGGTCATTAGACCAGCAATCACTAACTTATGCATGTGCAGCATGGTATTTCCTGCAGAACAGAACCTTGTGTACTGTCACTAACGTCCCATGGTATGTCTCCAGCATGACTTTTCACATAGGCCTGGACATTCCTCATGTGAGTCAGTAGACTACACAATCGAGCAAGTTCGCAAGCACATAAGACCGCGACCCGCACTGTGATCAATAGATAATGCAATTGTAGGCCCAACTAAAATTACGATTTTTCCACACATACAAGATCAATCAATTCAAAATTACTGAATACTAGTTAACAATATCAAGGCATCCCTCCAACGGACGCACTTCCTCCTCTTTGCTCTTCCACTTTCATTCCTTTCTTTCTCCCTGTCTTTGTCTGGATTCCTTGGAACCAGACCAGCCAGCCTTGTTGACCTACAATACTTTAACCAAGAGCAAAGGTCTCACATACTGCTCTGACAGACAATCACGAATATGATAGAATTATCTATTTCGGTTAAAATCCTTGATCCCATTTAATGAGCATCTACAAATGCGTCAGGGGCGGTGCAAGGGGGCCAAACCTCGTATTTCGTATTTACATTTCCTATACACCTAGTAATTGGGTTCTATGATGTTACTGACAATATACCATATGTGCGTATATTATGAACGTAATATGAATCTAGTGTCGTAATTTATTCTGCTTCTATAGATACTTTTTCTCGTTTATGTTGATGTCTGAAAAAGCTCTGAAGCTAGGAACAAAAAATCATGCTTACCTGAAAGACAATGGCATCCCTTTCCAGCCGGCTCATGTTCTTGAAGACCGTATCGATGATGTCGTGGTACTTATCTCGTTGAAGAAAACTAGGCCCATCTTTTTCGAAGAAATCAATGAAGTCGTATAGTAGAAAATACGTTCCTGGAAAGAAGAAACATTTCTTAATATAAGAATATTCCGTAAATTGTAAGACGAATAATGCACGATCAGTATCTACTGTACACCGTCAGTATTTATTATGCAATGCGATATTAATCGACTGGGTACTCCACTGACACCAATGATTTTAGATTAAGTAGAAGGAGCTAATCGAAGATTTGTTTGTCTCCTTATTTTCATAGTTTGTAGTGATGATAAAAGTGTATTTGATATAGGTCAATTTATTAACAGTTCTGTCATAAAATTCACAGTTTTAGTGTTATTCTAAAAATGCGAGCGTTTTTAGATTATTGTTTGGTTAGATGATTTCAAGACGTACTACTTCTTCGATAACAAGCGAAGAATAGCACAGGCCTAATAAAGGTAGATGTTTCTATCGGTAAATATTATTATTATTATGTTCATATAATGCTGTTAACTTGGTAGGTACTGGTAGACAAATATGTCAAAAGTACCTACTGAAACTACGCAATTTTGACGATAATCAATGCAACGTAAACATATAGGCTTTGCTATTTCTAATCTGTTCGAATTCGTAACTGACAGTGACCAAATCATTCGTAATTACTGATGGCATGGACCACAGTAAGCACTAATCGTCTGGCACTCTCCTTAAGATACATTATAATATCGTAGTCAGGCTGAATCTTCATACCCCAGTTGATCTGATAATTGAACATTTAGCTATTGAGTGTAAAACTCTGGGACGTGGAGTGTCTCGATTATTTGACAACATTTGCGAGTGCATTGACTCATCGCTTTTCAATACAAATGTCGATGATTTTAATTGCACCTTTAAATAATGATAATATTCCCAGGGAGCCAAATGCATAGTGGGGCAAGGGAATGAAATATAGTCGTGGCTTTGTGGGGTTAACCGAGGCCTAGCGAAGGTGCAAATATTTCGCTGGCATCATTTTCCAGATCAACAGAGGATTTGCTAACCCCAAGTTGAATAAATCTTCGTCATTTTCACTAATGTGTTTATTTTTATATTGCTCGTATGAAGCACAAATATTTCTTCCGCTAGGAGATGCTATTATCGAGCATCCAGCGAATTAGAGAATATTAGTTCTGCTTTGAAGAAATCTTCACTGCAGTACCAACAATGTATACTAGAAGCCACAGATACCTGGGCACTAGCATTGACATAATAAAAGAACAATATCCTAGGCATTTTACAAGTTTTCATTTAACTCAACCTGTTTGTCAGTATATTAGTGTGAACAATTCTTGAAACTGAATCTTGAACAAGCTAACCTCAACCTGTTGAGCTGAAATTTTATAAACACGTTTGGTTAGCATGACTATACAAAATAATTGAATGTCGCCATTTTGCATGGTATATGTATTATATGAAAGGATTTAATGATAGAAACACAATAAGCAAGGTGACGTAATTCTGAAATAACCGATATTGCGGCCGCCGCAATACTAATAACGTGGCATTGATGTCAAATAAAAAAGCTTGTTAATAAAACCACAATCAGCAAAGTGAAGTCATTCTTAATCCAATATGGCGACCGCAACAAAACGGCAATGTAATCGCAAATATATGGATATGGATATCAAATGGAAATGCTTTAAGAGGGAAAAACGAACTGAAAATTCAAGACATTTTTTTCTGATTTGAAATACGCCGTTTGATACTTCCTAATCTTCAAATAATATTGACGCTCCTTCATCTCAGGTTTTCAAATAAAAGCGGGTTACGTTTTAACGACAAGAGGGAAAAAGGGTGTACCACGCTTTTATTTGAGAGCTTGAATCGAAGGAGCATAAATATCGTTTAATGATCAAACAGCATATTTTCAACCGGAAAAATCAGAATTTTTACTTTGTTGTATCAACAGCTAGATTAGAGCTTCCTTTTAAATTTTTTTTTTCATTTTTATTATATATATATATTATTATATAAAAATTATACAATACATAAAAAATAAAGATTTACATTGAAACTAGTAGACCGCAGTAAGTTCTACGTTTAGCGCTTTTGAATCCAGCACGATTCACGACCAGTTACAGACCTTTTACGACGTCGTAACCCAAGTAAAATGAATTCGTTCGTAGTACGTTATAGCAGTCCGCATTTTGTATTAGAAGGTGCTGGAGAGTTAAGTAAATAAAAACGTCTACTGGCAGAAGTGTTTCGCTTGCAACAACATTGAAGTCACGTTGATCATATTTCAACCATCTAAGCTCATTGATCTTCTTAGACACATGGCTAAACTTTCGCAGACCACAAACGAACCTACATCAGCTATTTTGAATTTTTTGTACTCGATATCTAGTCACGTAATCAAGACAAGGACAGTAAACAGCAATTGAATAATTTATTAACGATAGAACCAGAGTCTCAGCCAGCTTTTGCGAGTCTTGAAATTCAGAATATGGCGATTAACACTACATTGCATTTGTATATAATAAAGCAACTATCTAGAACTATTTTATAGAAAAAATGAACAAAGTATAACCTTATTTGTACATGCAGCTAAAGACCACAGATGAAAAGGCTAGTTTTCTTTAAATTTAAGAAAACATTCAATATGTCAAAGACGGTGACACTTTTATATAGGTAAGTTTTTGTTATTTAGGAGGTCAGTCCAAAGCCTACCTTCTCAGTTTGTCGTGTTACTTATTGGTATTTGAAATTCTCCTTTAATGTAGTAAACATTTCGGTCACAACTGTGACCTCCTTCAGTACATGACACGGGCAATATTTTATTTATCTGTTTTCCAAGTGATTCTTCGTTTGTTTTTTACTTCCACATCCAGATTCCTATACAGTGTGTTACTACAATAGTCTGGAATGCTCCGTATACATTTATATGTTTTACAGTCTAACAGCTTTTGGTCTACAGCCTTCTGTTGTCTCAAAAAAGTGCTATCGAATAAAGATTTATCTATTTAAGGTCGCAGGTCCCTTTTTTCAACTGCCTGTTTGAAGCAGTATTCTAAATCGTTGTCATCTGATTATTTCATGGTGTCTATAGAGATGACTAAAAACAAATTAAATAAATTTTTTTGTTGGCAAAAAAGGCGTCGGTGTGCATTTTATTGTTGATTTTTTTAGTCGTAACTTACAAATATTAGTACAACTCTGAAATTGTATTCCATTTTTATAGTAGAATTGAGCGGGTGATTACTTTCATTCTTGCCACTTTTTCTATGATAAAAATCTTTATTTTTTTGCAAAATGAGGTTTCAAGAATAGCAAAGATATTTTGAGGAGAGAAAGTGACAAGAAAAATGTAGTCACCCTCTTAATTCTTCTTTAACGGGGCTCCTACAATCACGAGCACCATCTGCTGAGGTAACAAGGGTGGTGAAAAGGAAACGATTGTGGGCTGGTCTTAGACGGTGGTCGGCGCTACTTTAAAAGAGGAAAGGATGACTGCGGGTGCCTACCGAGGTAAATATATATAATAACAGTCGGATTTCGATTAGCGATCTAGCCTGTAAATCGATTTGTAGAGGTTTGCGCGCTTCGAAATTGACGCTTTATTATTTGATATTTTTGGATGAAAATTTCACAGAGTGCTGAAAACAAAATCCCACAGGGTGCTATTTATATACTTTTTCATTTTTTTCACTAGGTTCTTTTTAAAAAAATCGCGAAGTTGAACAGAAAAAGTGCGCACTTCAACCTATCATAAAACTTATGCAAAAACAAAATTTCAAAAAGTGCTCCTATAGCACCCTGGGCAATTATCTTCTCAACATACTGCATGAATTTCATTCAAAAATATTGAAAAATGGAGTGTCAGTTTTGAAGCAGCTGAATCCTTGTAAATGGCTTGAAACTCACTGCGTCGGAGCCGCCTTAAGAGTGAAATGCAAATAATTGCAGCGACGTACTAGTATTTGTTAACAAGTTACGATTGAAGAAAAATGCATTTTTTACAAAAGAAAGCTGATGACATTATTTTTCAGTCATGTCTACACACACCATGAAGAAATCAGACGAAAGTTATCAAGAATACTCATCCCGATGGGCTGTGGAAAATAGGAATGTTCGACGTTAAATAGAGCCCTAGTGAGAATAATAGTCGCTTCCTTTCTGATTCCAAATTTATATGCTTTATTATACTCATTTTCATTACTTTAATCAAAAACTTAAATTTTGTGTGTCATTCATTGCCGGTAAATTCGAGTGTTGAATTGTGGCGCTGCAAAAAACGTGCACTTAGCACTACCTTGACGTATATGGAGCAGTACACACTATCAACGACACTTCAATGCCCGTGTGTATCGGCATTATACGTAATCAGCCTTATACCAAATTGAGTCGGCAGATAGGTGCAAACTACTAAACTACTCGGATACACATTAATAAGTGGCAGACAAAATTTTTTGTCCAGACTAATGGGAATATGTATTTGGAATCAGATAATAAGCGACTATCAGTTCCATTGAAAATATGCAGGACGCCCTATGTTGAAAATGTAACTTCATTGAGTAGCACTTTTAAGCATATTATATACTTAATTTCAATAACACTTTCTTTAGCTGTCATATGAAAAGCTAGAGGTGCGGCCAATTTATTACGGAACACTCCATACACCATATTCAAGATTGCTTTTGCGGTTTGCTTCAGTAAGAAAAAAACAACTCCTGCGACCACTTTGCTCTACAATATCGCAAAGCAAATGGATTTGTTCCTTGCGCCCAGATCCATTCCACATTTCTGTACCAGTAATCGCTCCGAGCGTTAGAACAATTATACGTCGGGTGCAAGGAGAGTGAATTTCACTTACATTTTTGCGAGGGTAACGTGTACCGTTTGGTACGTATGTCTATGGAATTAAATTCAGGTAATTGAGTTTCTGGAAATAGTTCCGTTTATCTACCGGCGGCTGTTATCTTAATCGAAATACGAGACCTGAAAGCTTATTGTTTTTGCGACTTTGCCTTGTGTTCCACGCTCGAAGCTAATGGAAAAACTAAACGAATGCGATAAACGTATTCAGTTATTAGATTGTAAACATATTTGGATACAAATGTTGTTTATTATAGTCTGTGAAAGATATAAAGCTATGAAGTCGACTCTTAACGGGGCTCCTACAATCACGAGCACCATCTGCTGAGGTAACAGGGGGGTGAAAAGGAAACGTTTGTGGGCTGGTCTTAGACGGTGGTCGGCGCTACTTTAAAAGAGGAAAGGATGACTGCGGGTGCCTACGAAGGTAAATTTTTATAATAACAGAATCGGATTTCGATTAGCCATCTAGCCTGTAGATCGTTTCCTATTTTGGTACTCAGCTAGTGATCATTTAGTATTGTTCTACCCTTGTTACTGTTCATCGATATTGTGTTGTTGAATTGTTGTGTTGTACTTCTGTTGGTGAGATTGTTCTTGAGTGAATTTTTTATCAAGGTTAATATCTAATGGACAATAAAAAGTCATATGCGACAATTTTAATTATGAATTCATTGAGTTTAATCTATGATGAGGACAACAATAGTGTGGAGCAGTTCAACTCTATAATCGCAAAATACATTGGGATAAGCGAATAAATTATTGCAAGAAGAGGTCATACCATGGAAAATGTGCTGCAGCTGTAGTGAGCCACAATACCGAGCGGCCTGTCTATGTGGTCTAAATACATTTGCGTTCTAAGCTTAGTCCAACCTCGCTTATCACTAAGATGGAACAAAAACACAAACGCAAGAATCTTGGAAAGAAACTCAGACCAAAATAAGTTGATATAAAAATAACTAACAATTCGGATAGCAATTCCTAAGGAAATATATAATAGTTTTATGGCGAATTCTGTCAAAAACCTAACATGAACGACATTGATTTCTAGGTTGCTAAGCAAGAATTTTTAGGGAAACTTAGAAAAAGTGACGACGAGATTTTGCATATCGAACAAGTCACGAAATCACAGGACTGTGCTGTGTGGCGTCTTCATCGGAGGATATGGTTGACAGCGTCTCGATTTGGTGAAGGTTGTAGAAGAAGGTAGACAACAAGCTGTAAAGTTCTAGTAAGGTCCATCATATACCCAACTGAGTTTTCTAGTAAGGCAATAAAAAAAGGCAATACAAAAATCATTGGACACGGCAGTTCAATCTTGTGGTTTGTTTATTGATCGCACACATCCATTTCTGGCAGCATCACCTCCATCTACCTATTACAGTAGACAACACATGTACTTAATCCAGGTATAAGCCTACCTGTTTATTGCTTTGCAAAAACTACCTAACTGTTTCCTCTTATTTTGACGGCATAAGCTATTTTTATGACCCTCGTTCAATTGTTACCATCTACCACACTACCCTTGTAAACATAATTGTGTTTATTGACATGAATAAACGAATTAGAATTTGAGTTCTTGAACTTATTTTAGGAAAGATATAAAATTATTTTAATACATTTTTTCTTAGTCGGAACGCACCGTCGCGTCGCTTGGACTGGCAGGACGAACCAGTAGATGAATTTCGCCCAAAAACCGATTTGCACTTGACAGCTTACTTTTTATTATTTCCAAATGAAACTCTTGCAGCGTGCTAAAAACAAAGTCCACAAGGTGCCAGCGATCTTTTTAAAATATCAAGAAGTTGAGCACAAATAGTGAGCATTTCAACCCACCATAATTCTTGCACAAAGACAAAATTTTGTAAAAAGCTCCAGATAGCACCCTAGGCAATTGTCGCCTGCTTATATCCAGAAAAACATCACAAACTGCAGAACACAAAAGGTAACGGCGAAATGGGTACATTTCACGGGTTATGAAATTCAAAATAAAATGCAGGTATAAAATCTACCAAATGATCATTCTCAAAAACATATTTCCTGTTGGTGTCAAACCTATAGAGCTTGTACCGATTTTTTGAAATCGTGAGCACATTATTCGTCGGGTTTTCGATACTTAAATTTCCTATAATCACTGGGATCAGAAACTTCTTAGTAATAGAACGTGTTTCGCGGATTTCAACCCCCTCCCCCTTTTTAAGCAGTACAATTTTTTTATGTCAATGATTAGGAACCCCTGAAACGTCAAAAACGGAGTTTCAGCAATTGTTACTTTTTTTTTTTGCCTATAGCACCGTTACCACTGGACTAAGACTGTAAAGCTTTGGGATACTAGTAACCGCGTGTGGACATTTCATAAAAATCCGAGTGGTAATTTCCAAGTTGATGATGAGTGATACAGTTTTTCGTGATATAGATGTCATATGACTTAAAAAAACATAATATCTGATTTTAAAAATTTTTCGCGATTACAATACTTCCTCGCCAATGACGTGGGAAGTAAAACGGCTTTAAAATCGAGGAGTATCAGCGATCGCGATTATGGGTACCTATTTGCAGAACGACTTATCTACGCGACATTACATTATATGAAATAGGGCCACCAAATTATCCGAATACGTCCTTTCGTCCGTACATTGCGCCGCAACGCTTGGTTTGGCAGCACGAAACAGTTGACAAAATTCGTCCAAAATACGATTTGTAGAGGTTTGCACGCTTCGAAATTGACTCTTTATTTTTTGATATTTTTGGATGAAATTTTCTCAGAGTGCTGAAAACAAAACCCCACAGGGTGCTATAGAGCCACTTTTTAATTTTTTTCACTAGGTTCTTTTTAAAAAAAACTAGAACTTGAACAGAAAAAGTGCGCACTTCAACCTATCATAAAACTTGTGCAAAAACAAAATTTCAAAAAGTGCTCCTATAGCACCCTGGGCAATTATCTTCTCAACATACTGTATGAATTTCATTCAAAAATATTGAAAAATGGAATGAAGTAAAATTTGATATGTGGATTTACCTAAGTATTGTCCACAAGTCCTTACTCAAAATTAACGTGCACCAGTGGCGGAGATACAGGGGATTGGTTGCGTTATTTTTCTAAATAAAAATAGTACGCCACTGTTTTTTTGGTAACGAGCAATTTTACGAATTTTACCTTCAATTTGCTACAAATAATTACTCTTGTGTTTTTTTCCTAGGGTTCACTGTTTTCGTAAGAATAGAAATAAAACGAATTCGCATGTTCGTCGTGACATAATCGCATGGTTAAATAATCATTTTAGACAACGATGAATTGGCAGAAACGGACTCGTACATTGGCATGCGACGTCTCCTGATTTGAACCTCCTGGATTTCTTTTTGTAGGGCGCTTTTGAACAACTAGTGTATGCTGAACAAATTAATACTGTTGATCAGTTGCAAGAAAGAACAGATAATGCGTTCCATCAAATTCAAAGCACAACAAATTTTGTGGAAATACGTTTGTTATTATTAAAAAGATGCCGCACTTGTATCCGTCAGAATAGTGGTCTTTTTCAACATTTATTGAAATCAAGCTTTGATCATCTAATGTGTTTAATTTTCATTTTTATGAAAACAGTGCACTCTAGGAAAAAAACACATGAGTAATTATTTGTAGCAGATTGAAGGTAAAATTCGAAAAAATGCGCGTTTCAAAGGAAAACAGTGGCGTACTATTTTTATTTGGAAAAATTATGCCAGTAATCTCCTGCCACTGGTGTACAGACTTACGTAAATCCACATACCAAATTTTAGTTCATTCCAGTTGACGGTTTTGAAGATATTAAAAAAAGATGTTTTTTTATTTTTAAACTAGAACACCCTCTATCTTTTTAATGAAGCCTTCGAGGAACAATGTTACATAGAAGACCCCCCTTCAAATGCGGTCCTGTGTATGATGTTTCATTTTTGGTCACGACTTGTGAATCACCATGTATATCCCACTTTAAAAATACATTGGTATTTAACATTTTAGACGTTTATGAAGGAATTGGTATGCATTTTAGATACACAAATGAGAAGGATATTCCATGAAAAAGTAATTCTTTATGTGAGCTAGGCAACTCCACTATTGGCGCCTGCCATTTTTTGCCCCATAATCTCATTCAACTGCACCAAAGTGTGTGGTTCTATGGCCAGCACCATGCTAAATTAACACTACAAATTATAGTAGTCATTTATATAATCGGAGTTAAATCCGTCGAAATTTTCCGTTTGTGAGGCTTGATTTTTCTTCTTCTCTAATGAATTATTAAGATTGTTGTATGGTCCTTTTTCTGAAGCAATAACCGTCTGAAGTTTGACCAAGTACATTATTAACATCATACAATATAGACACCTTATATCTGTGGCTTTAGACCGGATACCTTGAGTCTATAGATATGTTCTGGCATCACATTTCCAACGGTTTGAAACCGCTTGAGCATGCGCAGTGAAGAAAACGTGCTCTGGTAAGGTTACAACCTAGTTGGGGATTATCGGTCCACTGTTTCAGCAAACCAATCTTTGGTTTGGAAACTGGTTATGGACAGTCAAAACAGTACATAGGATATTGTTGGGATTCGGGGTTTGTGACGTGCGCAGATCGCACAAGATCATAATGTTGTTTATGTTATGATTTATGGTATTGTGGTTATGATTTAATCAATGGTGGAGACATGGCAGATTTTTCAAGTTTAAGTTCAGAGTCCGACTGGATATCAGAAATCGATTCTACGGATGATGGAGATATTCTAGATATGATGCTTCATAATCACAAAAAATCCAAAAATGAGGATTACTTAAACGTAACCGGGCATCTATATACTGAAAGCGAATTTAGACATTTTAGGGTTAGTCGCAAACTGGCCGAAGATATCTCAACTAAATATGAACACAGCCCGTTCTACAAAAAGCTGACTGGCGGTAATGGGAAGCTTTCTGCTTATGAACACACACTCATATTTTTGTGGTTCGCGGGACATGAAACATCATCGTTTCGTGATGTAGCTGACAGATTTGATATCACGATTAGTTGTTTATTCCACATAATAAGACGTTTAGTCAAGTTTATAAGCAGTATATCTTTAACTGTAATTCAATGGCCTAACAATGAGGAAAAATATAATTGAGCAACATTTCGGAGATAAAGGGTTTCCAGGTGTAATAGGAGCAATAGACGGAACTCATCTAAGGATTGATAGGCCAAAGGATGATCCTGATTTATATCTGAACCGCAAGCACTTTTATTCCATCCAAGTAATTAAAAAATCGCATCTATAGTTTTCATGATTAAGATACATTTTTTTAGATACAAGCTGTTTGTGATAATCGAGCACAAATCCGAGACATCTTTATTGGATACCCTGGATCAGACCATGATAGCCGAGTATTCAGGAATTCACCACTATTTCCAGAACTGAGTGAAAACTGCCAACAGTATTACATACTGGGTTATAGTGGCTACCCATGCACAATACATCTCCTAACACCATATATAAAGATCATGGAAACCTGATAGGGATTGAAAAAAACTTCAATTTGAAGTTAGCTAAAAATAGATATGTGATAGAGCACTACTTTGGCCTAATGAATGCATGTTGTATTTTGCATAATTTAGCATTAAATGATGGCTTTCCTGATGAGGAAGTACAATAGATGATGTAGCCGAAATTTTGAATAATACTGCTGCAGATTACAGGAATTTTGTGGCTAGACATATTTTGATGTAGTATAATAAGTTTTTTTTTACTTGAAACTAAAGAGTAAGACTTCATTATTACAGACAGGTAAAAGCACATTCCTAAAGGGGAATGGGTTTGAATAAATTTTCTTTGAAAGCATTGGACATTTATTTCTTTTTTCATGCCAATCTGAAGTGGCAATGGGCACAAATGCTGATATACTCATTTTCAAAAATTACCTAGCCTCAAATGTGCACATCTCTAACACAGGAAAACAAGAAACTGCCATAAGGTTTATGCATCTTAAGTTGATTCCCTGACCAAAAATATACACTTTCGAAGCTTGATAACTCATTAAGGTCTTTCCAGGACATTTTACTGTCAACAACTACATCTAAAATCTTTGTATAATTGATGTTGAAATCTTTTGTTTTGTATCATGTAGGCTGGTCCAGTGTTGTTTTTGCAGATCTTCTGAATTATTCAAGTTTGTTCTGTTGTTTACTTCTAGTTTATAGCGTAAATTAATACTGTAAATGTACAAACATTCATCTTTTAGCTTAAATAAAAAGTATTTTTAAATAGTGTATCAGTATTTTAATTTTTAATAATGCAGAAAGAACCAAAATACTAATCCCAATTTTACATTCATTCATCACAGAAATAAAACTTAACACATATCTTTCATTATAATAACTACAAACACAAACAATACTGCACATAAACACAAGATAACACACAACATACCTACGATTAAATATCCATCTTGTCAGGGGATCTATTTTTTGTTTTTCAATATTTCGTTTCTTTTTTATAAAACCTCAACTTGTTAATTTTTTATTTGTAATTTCTGTTTTTGCAGTTCTAATAAGAAGTCTATTTTGTATTTTTACAATTTCAGTCTCTCCTCTTGGTATTGTTTTCGGTCTAATTGTACTTGTTTCAGAATGTTTTCTTTTTTATATTTTATTACTGTTTGCTGCTTAACTTTAGCTGCAGAAATCCCAAGCGCTTTTGTTGGTGTTTCCTGATTTTCAATCATTTCCATGTCCTCTGCCTCATTTTCATTACTTGGTCGAATCTCACCTACAATGACGGGCCAGATGTGGTAAAAAAGAAATCAATCTACATCAATATTGAATATATTCGAATAATAAGGCTCTAATACTTAATTTAAATAGCCCCCAAGAAAGCTCTAAAAGTCCTTAGCCTGTGAAGGTGAAGGAAAAGTTTGAGTAATTGATGTAACATTTCTACAAATACTTAATGATGGAACAGTTTGTTACATTAAGTACATAATTTTTGAACAACCTGTTTTCGTTTTTCATGCCCCTTGAATCCATCACATTCTTTGGACCATATATGAAGACAGTGTAGATTTATATGTATATGCAGCTTACCTGATGTGGTCAGAATGCCTTGATTTATATTTTTCTTCTCGCTGAAAATAGCGTCCATTGCTTCCGCAAATTCAAAGTATTTTCTGCCATGTCCAGTACTGGAATTGTGTTCCACACAGCGCTTATAATTCCGCCAACGATTTTCGCAGTTTTGGGGTGTGTATTTAACGTTATACTTTCTCTTCATGTGCTCTTATATTGTATCCCACATTTTTTTATGGTTTTCATTTCCATCCCACCTACTTTACTTCTGAATATTGTGTAACATTCAATCAACATCAGTGTGTAATGGCTTGTCCAAGACGGTGTCCCACCAGTTACATATCTGTTTGCAGGAAGTACCAGAAATTCTGAGAGATCTACACAAATGTCAAGTATAAGTTTGATAAACCCTCATATTTATTATTTACACTTACCAATGTCACCATTAACGTTCGAGAATATTTGTTTTTGCTCGCAAATCAACTTTCAAATGCAAATCACAGATGCAATACAAAACATATGCACTGAGACGCAAATTCAATTCAAACCCCATGAAAATGAAACGGGAAACGCACAAAACAAGAATGTCATCTAAAAGTCATCTACGATGCTGTCACTATCAAGTCAACCATATTTTTACAGGAAAAAGTGTTCTGGCAGAATTCAATTTGTAACGGTTTGAAACCAGTCTTCTGACCGCGCATGTGTGTTGAGGGAGTCCACAACCAGGTGTCAAACCGTTGGAAATGTAATGCCAGAACATATCTAATACCTCTTTATGTTTAATATACAGAGTGCTAAGTAGTAGCTCGTCAAGCTTTAAAGTGAGGTTCTTGGGGTGATTCTAAGAAAGAAAAAGTCAAATAACCCCAGGTAGTAGTAGTAGTAGTAGTAGAACATATTTATTTACTCCATAATATAACAACAATAATAACAACATTGTGATATACAGAAAGAGAATTCCTGTTCATCGGTCAGATGGCTGAAACGTGTGACACTCCAGAAACAAAGCAAAAAAGTCAAAAGAAACTTTTATACCAAAAAGATGTATATATGTAGAAGACGATATATTTTATGGAATATTTGATTGGAGTTCAACAACCTCTTGTCTTCCTATTAAGCGTATCCATTTTGAAAATTTCATTATAAAATTATGTGTATATCGAAATTGTCTTTGGGAACGTGTTCATATAATTTTGGAGTCAAATAGAGAAAACATTGCTTCATTATGGTCTTATAAGGTTTAAGGACAGTTTTTGCACGTAATTTATATGAACCATCATGGCAATGTGTAATTTTAACGCGTTCAATGACATTTTTTATGATGGTATGTAAGAAATAAAGTTGCTTGATATAAAATGACTTTGTCTCATACAAATCATTTGTTGAATATAATTTTGATTTTCTGAAGAGATCTCTGTAAAACTGCTATATCGTTTAAAGCTGCTGGATATGCTATACCATACATTAGGTGCGTTTCAATTAAGGCATATGATTTTCTGTCAATATGCATGTAAGGAGTTGTATTTTGTCTGTAACAAATCTCATTTTCTTCAAGAGGTAGGCTACATGAATGTCCCACTTCATATGTTGATCTAAAAAAAAATCTGAATATTCAATATTGTCCACTCTATCAATCTTTAAATTTGTATAGTTTATTCTGAAGGGAGACTTGAATAATCAGGTAGATGTCTTGCGTATGATGTGAAGGAAGAAAATGGGTTTTATCAAAGTTGACGGTGTTTCGTTTCCTAAGTCGAGGTGTCAAACCTTTTTGTTCTACTCTCCATGCCAATTCGCGAAAAACGAAAAACCCTGCCGTTTCCGATTTCCATTGGTCTGTTTGTCTGTCGGTCTGTTGGCTAATCCTTGGCCCTTATCAGTGGGAGATTACCACTCGGATCTTGATGAATTTCCAACACATTGTTACTAATATACCAAACACAAAAAAATGTTTCTCTGAACATCCATCCCGGACGGCGGAGCTACGGGCAAAAAACAAGAAAATGCGAATAAAAACCGCTCGAACGTAGTTTTCTGTCCTTTCCTAGACTTAAGAAGGCAGGTTGCAGGTGATGTGGGAGATTATCTCTGAATTTTTTGACATTCGTGTATTTATAGGTTTCTAGCCGGGCAATACTGTACACCGATTAGACAGACGTAAATTTCGTGTACATTTGCCCCTTGCATGATTTGGAATAATACCAGCGTCGAACTTACTGCTAAGAGAAGATAAACCTCGTCGCGAAGGGGTGTGGATCTGGGTAATCTGGTATGCTATATTGTTGACTGTTCACAGCTCGGTTTGAAGATTTGAAGATAAACATTTAATTCAGGGAGGCGATTAGACATCGGTAAGCGGACACTCTTTATGTACGTATACTATGTCTCGCAGACCATATAACTTTTTGAAGGTCGGGGGTAGCAAATTTTCTCAGGGAGGTTCACAGGACTATGTAAAACATGCAAATTTCAGGAGTCAGCCAGACTGTCAACGGGAGGCGCGGCTCTCCCAGGCCCCTGTCTTTGTGTCTATATATAGTATACCAGTTTGGTGCAAGGTTAAATGTTGTTAATACAACGGAGACGGAAAATGGGTCAAAAATAGTATTGTATTCATAGATGGACGCTCACAACGAACCTAGTGAGCAAACGTAGAATGACTGTTTGTACCTTAAGAACTACATAGTGTGCAGGATGACATTTTATAGGTTTTTTTTACGATTTATAAATTTTTACATAATACTTGTGCGGGTAGTCTGTAGGGCAGATGAGAAATTTCGCAACGATGTTTAAAAAGTAGAAACTGTTAGAAGTAGAACTGGTTTTATGGGCCTATTTGTCTGACTTGAGCCATTGGAGGCTTTTGTTATTCATGTTGGTTGTTAACTTCTTTCTAAGAGGAAACTAACCTATGCCGAACACAATCTTTTATGGGCTAATGTCAGCGTATGGTAGGGTGTTGCGTTAGAAGTATATGGCCAACCTACTTGACGCCATTTCTTTTTTCGTCAAAATCGAAAGGACCACTTAAACAATTTTGTATGAAATCGTTGGAACTTAGGTACAACTGTATCACCAAAAATCCAAATCTAACATCAAAGGATAAATATACTCAGTGACATTAGAAATGTTACACCCAGAAAAAATAATTTCTTTAAGTTGTTTTTTTGGCAACGTAATGTTTTATTTTTATTTTTGCTTACCTTTGTTAAAATATTTTCTCTTAGTTTTTGCTGTGAGCTGAGTAGTACAGATAGTTTTAGTTATTGCTCTTTCATTTACTAGTGCTAAGCGAAATAAAGTACCACGAGTTCGAAGACGTCCAATTATCACTATGTTAGCGACTTTGACAGGGGTAGAATTATTGCCTGTAGGGATGTTGGTTTGACCTATCGCGAAATTGGTCGCCATGTTAATTGTACTGCAATGAAATTTAAGACGTGTGTGGAAGAGGAAGGTAAAGCAACACGAAGTAGGCCAACTGGTCCAGGCGTGCCTCAGAGCATCAAAATAGGTGCTTCAGACATCTAGCCCTACGAGACCGTTTTGATACTACGCTTCAGATCGCTGACCAATGGTTTGGAGAAGAAGGTAAGACTGTTACTATACTTGCATACACTCTATCGCCGGATTCGACCCTTTGGACTTTTTTCATACCATCCACGGTTAGTGCTTCCTCTGCGGACCATTGTCGTCAACATTCGAACTGCAGCAGAGAACGGCAACATTGGGGGGCAGAATAGCATAATGTCATCTTCGGCCACGAATCGCGATTCTTTTTAGGTACGCCCGATGGTCGTAGAAGGTAAGACGTCGCCGTGGATAACGGCGTAATATTGGATTTGCTGTAGGAAGGCGAGAGGCAGGTACAGGGGATTGCTGGAGTAATGGTTTGGGGGACTATTGCCTATGGTAGCCGATCACCCATTCTCATTATTACAGGTGATATGACTGCTGCGGGTTATGTTGATGATGTCCTACGAACCACTTTACTGACGTAATCTATAGGGCCGTCGACACGCACGTCCCCATATTGCTCATCGTACTACGGACTTTCTTCAAGAACCAGGCGTTAATGTATTGCCGGGGCCACCTCGTACACTGGATTTAAATCCCATCAAACATGTCTGGGATATGATGTGGAGGAGACTATCCATCTTGCACCATCCGCCACAGATTCTGCCACAGCTAATATTTACACGAAGTTTGAGTTGCTTGGAATGAGGTGCCACAACCACACATCCATTATCTCATTTTGTCGATGCCTAGACGTATACAGGAGTGTATTCAGCTGCGGAGACCCCCAACATAATTTCATTCTTATTACTTGTCAATGAAATTTCATGAGAATTTTATCGTTTCATTCTTGATGTAAGACTACCTCATGGCCAAAAAATCAAGTCCAAGGAATTATTTTTTCTGAGTGTAACATTTCTGATGTCACTGAGTAGGATATAAACATACAATATAGAGAAATATATTAGGTACGTTTAGATTACGTATGACCGATGAAATAAACCAGAAAAGTCCTTTCCGGTGCAGGATCAAACCCAGTTCTACCGTCAGCCTAACAAGCGGAGACTGTTGCCACTTGACTACAATCGAGTGTTTAGTTACACGTTTCAGAGAAAATTGGTTATCTTGACTAAAGCATAATAGTCAGGCATATAGCCTAAGACTTTTTGTCAATCATGATGAGTACTATGAACACGTAGTGTTTTATGTTATGTAACATCAATAAGTCTTGCAGCATACGCCAAACATTGATTTTTATCGGCACATTTTTGGTACCTTGGGTCACAATTCCGTCATGTTTTAGTCAACTCACAGAAAACGTTATATACCTAAATCTTTCCCTTAAATCCTCCCATTCACTAGTGACAACCATGTAAATATCCGACAGTCGCGGTGGGCAACTCATATCATACATAGTGCTTTTCGTTGCACTGGGTGCAGGCGGGTTGAAATATTTCCAGCGATGAAATCTATCTGTGAAATATGTCTAGTATAGCTAAGTAGAATTACCGGGGCTAGATGCGTACAAACAAACTAACGCACAAAAATTGATATCAGCCCTCCCCCACCCTCTACAACCCCCTACCATCAATTTTAAATGATCCGGAGCCGCTGGAATGTCAAAAAACAAAGTAAGAGCAATTTTAATTCCCCTTTTTATTTGTTGTCCGTAGCTGGACCGATTGTCAAAAGCTACTATTAAGTTTTATAGTCCTAGGCACAGCACTAACCTCGTGCGAAAATTTCATTAAAAACCGAATAGTACTTTTCAAGTTATATTAGAAGGAGCCAAGCCTATATGTTTATATTGTAATGTTTGTTATGAAAATTGCGGAGCTTTAGTGCATACTTTTGACTCATTTGCCTACCAGTGCCTACCAAAGTTTTGTGTCAACATAATATTTACCGGTGGGAACATCTACCTTCATTACACTTATGTCTCTCTTCGCAAATTATGTTAGAAGTACTATGCTTTGAAAGCACCAAACATCACAATTATCTGCAAACACCTTAAAAAAACAACACTAAAGATACGAATTTGATGACAGGATTGTCAGAAAATTG